GCTGATTAAGAAGATTTGAAATTCCTATTTAGGTTAGAACAGAAGTAATTGAAGTTCCAGGCTTGAAAACACAAGTACTAAAAGAGCCAATCTGGGCCATGATCAGGAGTAAATTGTGCTGGATTCCTTTCCAATGTTCCTTTCATCATTCTCCTCTGACTTTCCTCAGTTACTGACTGTATCTTTTTTTCCTTGAAAAGTATCTTTTTCCCTTGCACAGACGCAGGGTTTCCTATAGTGCTTCTCTTGTTCCCTTGGTTACATTTCCTGTTTTCCATGCTGCAGCTCAGCATCTCTTTATAGTTACTGTCACGTGTTGGGGCACCTTGAACTGCAGACCTGTGCAGCCTAGATCGCAGGTTAAGTCTTGGCAAAGAGAGTTTGCCTGCTTACAGGTAACCACAGCCCTTCAGGTTCACACTTGGCTTCCTGCTATTCTTTTATCTGTATATGTGTAAGTGTACATGTTTGTATGACTCTGTCCTATAGTCTCAATGTGGTGGCATAATATAGTGGTTAAAAACATGGGCTTTGGATTTGTATTCTGGCTCTAGAATATTCTAGTCATATATAACAGTGGGCAAGTTACTTAAACTCTCTTTGAAAATGGAGAAAGTAGCAGTGCCAGCCTTATATAGTTGTCTTAAAGATTAAATGTAATAATGGATATAAGGGGTTTGAACTCGCACTTTGTATATAGTAGGTTCTCAATAAATGGTAGCTGGACTAAGATATTTAAGGGTAAGAATCTGATTTCTTAGAACTGTTTTCTTCCCAAGCTCAATTCTATGTATCCTGTAACAAAGAATGGTCATGCTAGATTCTGGAAGACTGCACAAGAAAGGGCCTTAGAGATTATGCTGTCTGATCCCCTCATTTTTTATTAGAAACCTGAGATGCAGAGATAGAAGCAGATTTGCCTCAGGTCATTTTGAGAGAATGTGGCATATCCAGAGTTAAAACTCAGGACTCATTCTTCCTCTATTTCTTTTATTCCAGTTTGTCTCTGATATAATTTTAAGAATGGCCTTTTTTGGCATTAACTTTTCTAACACGGGAAAGGGAGTTACAGCCAGGTCTGTCTATGGAGACCCCAAAGAACAGGGGGATTGCAAAAAAGGAAAACAGCCAAACATCCGGCATGTTAGAAGCCTGCGTTTGAAATGGAGAGCAAAGACATACATATGTGTGCACACCGTGCACATGTCATCACACACACACAGGTGCATATTTAACATATGAAGAAAGCCAAGGCAAAGGAAGAAAATGCCCAAAGTTGTAGTGCAATGTGAGTTCATTACTGCTGAGTGGACCGATTTAAACAAATAAGGGAACAAACTTTTAGAGTCAAGGAGGCTTAACAGAGGATGACCATTTAAATATATTTTTTATTGGTTTTAGAGAGGAAGGGAGAGGGAGAGAGAGAGATAGAAACATCAATGATGAGAGAGAATCATTGATTGGCTGCCTCCTACATGCCCCCTACAGGGGATCAAACCTGCAACCTGGGCATGTGCCCTGACCAGGAATCGAATTGAGACCTCCTGGTTCACTCATCCACTACACCACACTAGCCGGGACAGAGGATGACCATTTAGAAAGACATGAAGACCATACTCTTGATTTAGCTCTGCTAAAACCTCTTTCCAAGCATTTAAGAACAATAAGAGCATCAGAGGACACCACCCTTTTTATCCCAGCGAAATCTGTTTTAGCCCCTAGGAATACATTTACAAGGAAGACAAAAAATGTCCTTAAATCTTGCTTTCTGTGTTCTATAAATACAAGCTTTCCACATCTGTTTGGCTTTCATGCAGCTTCCTCAGTCATCATCCCACACATTTACTGCTAAAGCAGTTACCACAGAAGGTTTTGACAGAAGCCATTTAGTAAAAGTGCACTTTCAGCTGCCAAAAATACAATGCAAACTACCCTGGCCAACTTCACACTCATGGGGTCGATCCCCTCCCTCTGGCTTTCTTATAGTGAGGCGACAGACTGACCCTTGCCTCAGTGCATTTAATGAAGAACAGGCAGCAGATTTCAGTAATGGATCAGTTCCTCTCCTCAGCATGCTCGATCTATAATGAAAATGAATTACCGTGCTTTAGTTCACTTAGAATAACCAAGTATGGATTAGTCTTTGATTCTGACTTTGCAGATGCTCAAATCCTATTGTGTAAGGCCTTAGCAGGACACTATAATGTTTCAGGTCTGGATGTGCTAAAGGAAGGAATGTTTAGATTAACCAAGTGTCCATTTATTCACTGACACGATAGGATTAGAATAATAGATCTTCCAAAACAATATGCCCTAGTCAGACTCCTTCTTACGCATGTACTTCACTTTAGTTACTAGAGAAGTGTTCTTAGCAATTGCAGAGTTGCAAAACAGGCAAAATTTCTCTGCAGGTTCCCTGCATCCCTCTGGCTAGTGTCCTACCATCAATGCCACAGGACTCAAGGTGCTTTTGATGTCCTCCTGCTTTGGTGACCCATGTAGATCTAGACATTACCTGAAGCCCTACAACCCTCACTCCCATGCTGCCTCATGCTATAGCCCAATGTATTTTACTATTTAATTATTTCAACAACTGTTTATTGAGTAATTACTTACTAGGTAGGGGGTAGGTCAAGTGTTGCCTACTATTTGCCCCTCTAGGGAGGAAACATGTTTTGGAATCCTAGGCAATATATACAACTAGAAGGCAGAGATGAGATTGTAAAGAGTCTTGTATACTATTATTGGGAAGGAGACTTTATCATTTAAGCAGTGGGTATCTATTGAAGATTTTAATATAGGCAAATAACTATCATATTAAGAAAAATCACACTAAAGACAGTGTAGAGGACAAGGGTGTCACTCAGTAGGAGCATTGTAAAGGGTGTAGTCAAGGACCAAAGTTAGTGTTCCTAGATAAGTAGTGTTAATGCTCAAACTCAAGCCAAGAAAAGGCCAAGGCCATGGATTGGAAAATGTAGAAATTATCACAGAATCTAGCCAAGAAGATGGCATTCATTGACCTAAAGTGGGCTTTCCTGACCCTGCATTCTAGTGAGGGCAGTTCAAGCCAGGAGTTCAGCCCTTTGGATGTGGCTAGAATAGACACCCTGAATGATCCAATGAAGGTTTCCTTCATTCTCATGAGGTGAGGGAACAGGAGAAAATGAAAAGAAAAAAAAAAGAGTAAAGCTAGAAGCAGTCTGACAGACAGAAAAATATTTGACAACACCTATACCCATGCAGGAAACTGCATGAAAGCCAAACAGAAGTGGGATATATATATCTCAACTGCTCTTGCAGTCTTGACTGAAAAGAAGCACATTGGTGGTAATGTCCAATGAATAGAGCCTAGAAAAAATGACTTCAGATTCTAGAACTGTCGCATTTCAATTATTTCCAAATTACTCTCTCTTTTTTTAAAAAAACAAAAAACAAGAGTGGCATAGGGCAACGGGCCTGAAGAACACATGGAACCACTCAAGTTTCACCATTATGACTTACGATGTATTCCAGAGGATAAAGTTTTCATCATAGATCTTTTTTATTGATTTTTTTTTTTAGAGATAGAGAGGAAGGGAGAGAGAGATAGAAATATCATACATCAGCTGCCTACTGCACGCCTCCTGCTGGGGGTT